TACTTTTAATTTTTCTTGTTCTTATTTATGGGAAAATTTTATTTTAAAAACCAATTTCTCTGTACCTAGAATAGTTAAATTCATACAGTCAGAAAGTACATTGGTAGATGCCAGGATCTGGGAGAGGGAGTTAGAAGGGAGAATGAGGAGCTAGTGTTTAACGGGGACAGAGTCTCCGTTCAGGACGGTGAAAAATTCGGAGATGGCAGATGTGAGAGCTGCACAGCAGCATGGCTGTGCCTGGGGCCCCTAAACTGTACAGCTGGTGCCGCTGCTGAGTTGCTTCAGGCGTGCCCGACGCTGTGCGACCCCACAGACGGCGGCCCACCGGGCCCCGCTGGCCCTGGGATTCTCCAGGCAAGAGTACTGGAGTGGGGTGCCATTGCCTTCTCCAGTGAACTGTACGGTTAGATATGGTTAAATTACTATGTTTTATATTAGGTGACTTTTTACCACAATAAAAAATATTTTTTATAAACCTATCTCTAAGCTTCCCAGGTGGCTCCGTGGTCAAGAATCCACCTGCCAATGCAGGGGACGTGGGTTCCATCCCTGGGTGGGGAAGAGCCCCTGGAGAAGGAAATGGCACCCCACTCCAGTGTTCTTGCCTGGAGCATCCCATGGACAGCGGAGCCTGGTGGGCTACAGTCCATGGGGTCACAAAGAGTCGGACCCAACTTTGTGACTAAACAACAAAAACCAGTATCTTAGTATTTAACACGGTGTGTGTGAGAATATAGCATTTGCTTTACAATAGATGATCATAGCATCTTGCTTTGCCCTCACTTCTCTTTCTCTCTGCCTTCCCTCCTCCTTCCCCTCCCCCCTTCCTGTCTTTCTGTCTCTTTTACCTTCGTGAGGGGAAGTTATTCTTTATATGAAACTCAAGTTCACGCTTCTCTATTCATCCTTTGAGAATAATAACTGCAGTCACTTATGTTGAAAATATAATGTTATTTCTTTAACTAAAAGTCTGAAAGAAAGAAAGTGTTAGTCACTCAGTCATGTCCAACTCTTTGCGACCCCATGGTCTGCAGCCCGCCAGGCTCCTCTGTCCATGGAATTCTCCAGGCAGGAATACTGGAGTGGGTCGCCATTCCCTTCTCCAATAATTAGGGCTTCCCTGGTGGTTCAGATGGTAAAGCATCTGGCTGCAATATGGAAGACCTGGATTCGATCCCTGGGTTGGGAAGATCCCCTGGAGGAGGTCATGGCAACCCACTCCAGTATTCTTGCCTGGAGAATCCCATGGACAGAGGAGCCTGGCAGGCTACAGTCCATGGGGTCACAAAGAGTCAGACGTGACTGAGTTACTTCACTTTCACTTTCTCCAATAATTAAAAGTCTAGTCTATACATTAAGTGACATTTCAGTCTTCATTCAAAGATGAACCACTTCCTTCCTCCAGCTGGGATTAGCAGTAAGTGGGAAGCAGTGTGATTGGCTTCCCTTCTTGTTGTTCATCTCCTCATCCACTTGCCAGTTGCTGTATCTGATTCCATCGGGGTTTAAACTGGGGGTATGCAGAAAGGCAGAGAGGCAAACGATTTTTTACTAGCCTTTTGTTATAAAATGGCTTCGTGCTCTCTGATTCATTGTGTGCTTAAGGCTGACCTTTTTTCTTGTGTTTTCATGGGCTTCCTCCACTGGAGCGATCCTTCATGTGACACTTGGGAAAGCTTTTCCTTCTAGCCAATACCCAATTCTTCTTCCTCTCCCTCTGCTCCCTCCCCGCTCACACTTCCTTTTCTGATGCTTCCTCGTTTCCTCCTCCTTCTGGTTGGTACTCTGGGAACCTCAGGCCGTACTCCAGGTAGAATTTTTTTTAACAGCTTTGTAATTACTTAGTTAGATTTTATTTTGGCTGCGCCGGGTCTTCTTTCTTTGAGCCGGTTTTCTCTAGCTTGCGTCCAGCAGGGGCTGCTTCCAGTTACTTCTCAGCGCAGAGTCTGCTCTTGTGGAGCACAGACTAGGCGCGTGGACGGCAGTAGTTGTGGCACGTGGGCTCTGTAGTTGCAGTTTGCGGGCTCACGGGCTTAGTTGCTCCACAGCGTGTGGGATCTTCCTGGACCAGGGATCAAACCCGTGTCCCCTGCATTGGCAGGCGGATTCTTTACCACTGAACCACCAGGGAAGGTTCTTTTTTTTTTTCTTTAAACATTCATTTTATAAAATACCTTAAAAGAACAGATAAAACTGTACTGGAGTTTACATAATAACCAGAATTGAAAAAGGATGAATAAAATATAAATTAATTGAACACATAGCTATTTTGCCACATTAAGCAAGTTTTAAAAAGTCATTAAAAATAAAATAGTAATTGAGAAGAAAGTCCATTGTTTTAAACAGCTTTACTGAGATATAATTGACATACCATTAAGAGAATTCGCCCTTTTAAAATATACCTTCAGAGTTCTTCAGCCATTACCACAACCTAAAGTTGGGGACATTTTCATCATCTGGATGGGATTTCATTAACGCAGAGCTATGTGTTCCTGCTTCTCGCCCCTCTTCCCCTCCCCTACCCGGCCAATATTAGAGTTGCACGCTCCAAATAGAGCTTGCCTCCTCCCCCAGCTCTCCTCTGTGCCCTCTGCTCCCTCTGACTGCTGTCTGAGTGATCGCTTAAGCCTTCAGATTCCTGAAGTGTCAAGCTCAAGTCCATGGTGTCCTCCCTACCTCCAGGGAACACATACCAAACACCAAAACGCCCCTTCTCACCCCCTTCCACTCGAAGAGGCATGAGAATCAGTACAGCTGTCTTCAAAGAAATTCTCTTTATGCAATTTTCTCCCTACTGTTTATACCCTGTGTGTAGGCTTTAGAGCTATCTAACTGGTTCTCATTCATATTGCTTTGGAACTTTGCTAGTTCCAAAGACTAGTCTTTCTCACAAGTCACGTTGGTATCTGATGGCTAATAGTGTCTTCAGTTGAAATTTCCAATTTAGTATAGTGTTTTATGTAGAAGATTATTCAGATACCTTTTAGAAAGGAATGAAGCTTCTATTTTTTTAATTCAATAACTGTGCCATTACTGTGCTATCATATAATAAAGTACATGAGAAACTTTGAGAGTTGGAGGGGAGGGGATCTGAATAAATTGTCCCTTTCTTGTTCAAGCTGGATAAAACCCCTGTGACTTTTTCAAAGCCTTGTTTTACATCTTCCCTTTAACCACCACATTGCTCATTTAAGTAGACACCCCTCAAGGCAGACTCTAAGAATTAAATGCTATAGTAAACATGTGAAAAGGAAAGTAATAGGACAAAGCTGGCCTCATGTATAGAACTGTAGTTGATGTTTTTCCATCTGGGTTAAAGTATCATAAATGTAAATTAAAAGAAAATATTAGGTTTTCTTGATAGCTGAGTAAGCAAAGTCAACTTTTATCAGAAAAAGATGTTTATTTTTAAAATGTCTCTTAAAGTTTAATGAAGGATATAATTACAAAAAAGAAGTATTTAACATTTTCTACTCCTTCTAGTTTCTTTTCCAAACCCACTGCTTCTGCCTGTCAATAGATATACATTATTCTTAATTTGGTTTGGTTAGTGTAGAAATCTCAGTGATCATTACAAAGAGCAACTTTCTTTTCAAGGAAAGTTAATTTAGGAAAACTCATAAAGGAAGATTTTGACTAGCAGCATTTCCCTCTTCCAAAGTGAAAGGATTATTGAGCCCCATGGAAAATCTTGTTTCATCAGTATATTGCCTACACATTGAGTGCTTTAAAAAAAACTTGACCTTACAAAAATGTCACAACAGAGGCACCTTTCTGATTTTCTGTTAATTCAACTTCTATAGTGTTTTAGATTACAAAGCGTGATTACAGGCATAGCTTCTTTGCTTGCCACAGCCACCTCAAAATGGCATTATTGTTACTGTTTTGTTATTATTCCCATGTCACATATGGAAAACTGAAGTTTAGATATAAAATGACTTTCCCAGGGGCAAATGGTATGTTGGCAGCAAAAGCTGAGTCTAGAAATATTTAAGTTTATTTAGTGCAAAATTATAGTATATTTTTAGAAATATAGAAATCAGTGAATGGAAAAAAATGTGTCCATCTTATTTCTGACTTTTTCCACCATGGTCATTGGTTCTCCTCTCTATTCTTTTTACCTGGGATGGATAGAATGAACCCTGGAACTCCAGTCTGGTTGCTTTGATTTAATTGTCTGTACTTTTGGTGTCTCTGGTACTTTGAGTCTCTCTTCTCCCATGAAGTAGTCACCTCTGTCACCAAATCAGTCTTGGTCTGCTTGCCACATGACAGGCCAGTAAATCAGGAGAGGAGAAATAGCGACTTTATTTGGGAAGCCAGGTGTCTGAAAAGATGGCAAACCGCCGTCCTCCAGTACCATCTTATCAGGATCTGATTGCCAGTTTCTTTTATAAGAGAGGGGGAGGAGGTGAGGAAGTAAAATTAGAAAGCCATAATTCTTGCAAAATATCTGCTGGGTTGGCCAGCATCAGAGAGGAGATGTGTTAATTTCTTTTGTGCAGCCTTTTACAGGTGGGCAGGGTCAGAATGTCTCCCTGTGAACTGAACAAAGGCACTTTAGTTTAACATTCAGTCAGAGGGGCGGGACTCCTCGAGGCAGGCCATTGTGTATGCTATTAGCTATAGACAGCATCCTTCTAGTGATTATAGTAACAAACATAACAAAAAGCAAAGGCTAAAGTTAAAGAAACAGATCCAACACGGAGTCAGAGTTTGTTCTTCCCTGTTACACCACTATGGCCATTCTCCAGGTCTGTCTCTGAAGTTGACAGTTTTGGGCTAGGGCATATGGTTGTTTTGAGAGTTCTTTTCCTCTTCACTCCTTTCTGTCTGCTACTTGAAGCTGCAGGACTATGTAGTATATATACTGAAGGCCATATTGAGAACTTAGATGGACAGGGGCTTCATAGACTCATTACCGATAGAGAACTTTCACTACTGCAAGTGCGGTGAAGTGGCTGATGTGTAGACCACCTGTTGCCTTTGTTTTGTAGGTAATATGCACGTGTCACTAGCCGAGGCCCTGGAAGTTCGGGGTGGGCCACTGCAGGAGGAAGAAATATGGGCTGTATTAAATCAAAGTGCCGAAAGCCTCCAAGAGCTATTCAGAAAAGGTAAGTGTGTGTGTGTGTGTGTGTGTGTGTGTAGGGTCGCAGAAAAGCAGCTACTGTGGCAGACTGTAGAAAACAGTGCTTTCTTTTATCTCTCTTAGAACTGAAAAAGCTCAGATCTTCTCTGCTTTCACTGGAACATCTGTATGCTAAGCACTGAAAATATCATAGTGATTAAAACTGAAAATCTTGCCTATCTCTCTAGAACTTACAGTCCATTGTGGAAAATACCTGTTAATAAAATACTTATATAAACAAATGTAAAAAATGCAATCTTGACAAGGACTGCCAGGGAGGGAAATCAGTTGACTATGAGAGCCCAGAGTAGGAGGTTTTGACCTGGTGAAGAGGAAGCAAAACAAGACTTCCCTATAAAAGTCACCCCTGAGCTTAGACCTGAAAAAGAAAAGTTAACCAGGCAAGAGGGAGGGAAAAACATTCCTGGCAGGAAGAATTATATGTGCATCCCCGAAATAATGAAAACTGAATAACTAGTATAATGCTGCCTGATGAGGTGGTTACCTGGTGCAAATGGTTGTGTGACATTTTGGAACTAAAAAATTTACAGAGTGAGTCACTGTTTATTTCTTCAAAACCATTTGATACTGTGTTGAAAAGCTCCACACGAAGATGGTGTTTGCCATTTATACCTTATGTCCAACTCTAGTTTAGAATAGTAGGTAAAGAAACCAAACTTCATCTAAACTTCATCTAAAGAAAGAATTCTGCAACTCCTGCAGCTTAATTCCAGAAAAATGAATGACCCAATCAAAAAATGGGCCAAAGAACTAAACAGATGTTTCTCCAAAGAAGACATACAGATGGCTAACAAACACATGAAAAGATGCTCAACATCACTCATTATCAGAGAAATGCAAATCAAAACCTCAGTGAGGTACCATTACACGCCAGTCAGGATGGCTGCTATCCAAAAGTCTACAAGCAATAAATGCTGGAGAGGGTGTGGAGAAAAGGGAACCCTC